TGCAATTTATTCATGCAGTGAAATTAAAATGAAGTTTAAAATAAGAACATATAAATTTATAGGAACGATGTGTGTAATTCAAAATATATGAAAAATAACTTTATGGAAATTTACGATTGTAAAATGAATAATTTTTTAAACAATAATCAATAATATAAAGATTATCATATAATAAGTTTTATTTTTAATAAAAAAAAAGTAATTGGCTATATATATATATATATATATATATATATATATATATATTTATTATTAGATATATTTTAGTATTTCATAATAGCTCCGGATAATTAATTATTATAATTAGTATAGAATTATTTTAATAACTAATTACAATGAAATACAATAAAATTAATTACAATGCAAATTAATCGTAGGTAAATTTTTTTATGAATCTTTCTTTTTTAAAAATTGCCATATTGATTGTTCATAATGAACTTTTTAGTAAATAATTAAGTAAAAAAATCGAAACTGTTCATTAATTTCAAGTGCTTTCAGAGTAATATATGGATTTGGAGCAAAACTGTTTGAGTAAAGTGAAAAATTAACGAGTATTGCATGATGAGAGGTGGACCTGATTTATTTTCTGGCATAAGCGTAAGCGCGCGGCCCTTCAAAAGCAATGAAAGCAGTAAATCCAGCTATTGCCAAAGAAGACGTACAGCGACATTCTTCGGAGCAACATCTTATTCAATCTTCCAAGCAAGGAATTAACAAGTCTGCGTATATATTTTTGGAAATGCTTGTCTTGAGTCCACTTAATTGATCCGTACACTTAATTAATTTGTCAAAGAACGAACGCGCGCGCGTTCAAATTAATGAATAATCCGCGCCACGAATTCGAACCGGAGCAATTAAGTATGACATTAACTGCCGTACGGGCAATCAGGCTCACTCGCCCCTCGACTTCAATAAACATTCTGTAGTAAGCGAGTGTGCGTCCTTTTTGCACTACAGCAACATCCGCCACATAAGTCGTTACGAATTTTTTCGCGCGTTAAAGACGTAGCCGCGCCCGAAAATTGTAAATAAGAGGAAAGCTGTGATTCGAGGTTCGTTAGGAAGCAGCTGCTGTTGCTGGCGCCTGCGTCGTTTTGTCATACGCAATAATTGTGTGGCATAAAAACCAAGGGATGCCGTTACTTCCGATTATTCCCCTACGCAACTCTCTTTGTCTATTTCTCTCTTTCTCTCTCTCTCTCTCTCCCTCTTCTTCTTCTTCCTCTTCTTCTTCTGTCTCATTCGAGGTGGCTGCACCTGTGCATCCTTAAAATGACCCGACGATACGTGGCGTGCGAGTGTGTGCTCACGTACGTATGTGTATAATAAACGCTGCTCGCACGGCGAGTAATAAATGCTTCGTGACTCGTAAAAACATTATTGCCACCCGGTCGCTGGAACGATGCGAGGGACAGTCCATGAAAATCGAGTTCCGAGCGCGCGCAAGAGCAAGATAGGGAAAG